TCCTTTATAGCTGGGCTATAGCTTAGCTGGTTCTGGGAGTCTAGCTAGATGTTGGAGAACCTGCCATAGAGATTTCTGAGTTGGTTGGGCTTTAATAAAGTAGCAATCTGCTACAACTTCACTAGGACCTTGGTTTCTTAAAAACAAATGGATTGAGGGGCGATAAGAGGTTTTTAACTAGAATGGCCATTGCTACATTAGTGGCAATAATAAACGCGATGTCACTTAATAATTCCACGGAGAACTGGATGGTAAATGGCCAAATGGCACAGATTAAGTAATCTAAATGAAACAAAGGCGTTTCATTGCAGTTAACGTAATCGTGGTTCCATTATGCAAATATGAATATTGTGCTCCAATGCTCATTCTGAATAGGTGTATTTGCCACTATGTGTTTCCTTGTAGTTAAATGCCTTCCACCGTAAACTGCTGTACTTCACGTAGACCTTCATACCCCTATTTTTTGTTAATTCCTGGCAGAATTTTCTAATTCCACTCACTCATTCGTTAAGTCTGCGTGTGTTTTTTTTCCCACAAATCACATTATTCTGAACTGAACTTGACTCTATCAGCTCACTGGGAAATTTTGGACTGGCTTTCGACAGTGGTCTCTCTTTTGTTTGGCCACGCCAAGTTGTTTCAATTCACCAAACCACACTTGCACGAGGTTATCACAAAGTCACGTTACATTTTCTTTCAATTTCAGTGAATTCACTATGATTTATGTTGAACATGATTTCATAACTGATTATCTCAGCACACAGAAAATGGCCGATTTTCATGTAACTTGAAAATTCATTAATGTGATCTTCATAATCGCTAAGGCGACTGTCTCTCGAGCAATCTAATTAGCTTTATACGCAAAAAGCAGATAACATTCGGAATGCACCCAGTTTTGTGAATAATTTCATATGAGCTGCATTCCCCTCTGATTAACTTGTCCAATATTCGTCTCTCTTACGAAAGTTAATTTGAAATTTTGATTGCTTACAGCAATTTTGTTAAATTAATTAATACGACAGCAAGAGACGCCTTTAAATGTTACGCCCTTCGACGTTCATTAACTTGACCCGCCTCAAGTGAGTTTATCTATTCAATAGGGAATTGAATTAGTGTTGATATTACACCATGAAAGCCCGATAACAACTGCTGTAGTAATGACGCTACTTAATAACTCCTAGTAGAACTGGTTACTAAATGGGCAAAAGGCGCATGTTTGATAATTCGAACGAAGCAAGCGCGTATCTTACACAGTTAACAAACTCGTGGATCCATACTAGAAAATGCTCAAACAATATGTTAATATATGAACCATTGGCTCACTACGGCGACTCGTCTTGAAGCTAAGTAGGTTGTTCAATTAGTTGGTTGTGTCCATTTGGTCTGGTTACCACTGGTGAGTGAGAAATGCATCGAGTGACAGCATTAAGACCTTCCTTCAATTATGCATCAGTTAGTACGAAACAGTTTTTATTTTGTGGAAAACATTTCCCACTTCAATTCTATTCGATTAAAAGACTTTTGTTGTGAACTTTTACGTTGGGACCTCTCTCTCGAAGACAATTTACTCATTTCAGCACACTTTCTCGTATTATTGCAACAGACAGACCTCACTTGTGCGAAAATACGAAATGTATGACCATGACCACTGACATGGATTCCCACTAACTCATTTTAAACCCCATCTGTCTTTATGTGTTCTCGGGCCCCAGTCTACTTCGACCTTGGTTGGCGGAGGTAGCAAGTATTCCACTTTCATTTTCACTCTGGGGCCTAAGGCTGTTATCTGGATCTTGAAAGTTGACAAAAGCAATGCAAACAAATTCTTTTCCTCAGATCTCAGTTAGGCATAGCATAACAGGAAGCAAATCTATCATCTTATCTTCGCTAATTTTCATTTCCAGCCCAGACAATAACCGTCTTGTTTAATAAACAAATGCGACTTATGTAATAAACAGTAGAATTTACTGACTCAAAACATCAACTTGTTAATACAGAGATAGGTGGAGGGAGATCAATGTACAGGACAATTTGGTGAATACAATTGGATTATTAGACTCCAGTCATTAAGGCTGTGGTTTAGTAACAATAAGTCCACCTTTAGCGCCTTTAGCAGAACTAGGAGGTAAAAGACTTGGCGCCAACATCCCATAGAGTTCTTTGTATTCGTCTAACGATACAGGCAGTCCCATCCTTAGTCGGTAAGAAGCCAAAGGAATAGAGAGCTTATTCTGCGTAGAAAGCAAAAGGTTTAAATCATTCATTATAACATAGCAATTAACTTAAATAAAGATATGGCGCTCACTTTCATAAAACCCTTAAGAGCCTCAAACGACTTAAGCTCCGCGAAAGGTAGAGAAGAAGAAGGAGCAGTAGTAGTGTTCATAGTCTGTCTCAAACCAGTCTCCTGATCCATTACCACCATCAATTCAGGGTTGCTAGGTGCTAATGGTTGCAACGATGATGTCGTCGGTGTTTCCGCAAGACTAGTAGCGGCGGGAGTATTAGAAGCAGAGGCGACCATTCCGATGATTCGCTTGCATATTACTGGTAAATGAGGAAAGACGAGTTTCTCAAGACAAGCCTCACCGAATTCCACGAAACATGTAAGCACACCATAAGCAGTGTTGAGTGAATCGATGGCAGAGCCGAGATTGGCCTTTAGAGAATAGTCGGAGGAAAGGGCAGTACTGTCTTCAGAAGCTTGTTTTCCTTCGATCCATAGCCAAAGTACCCGGTAGATTAGTTTGGAAACTCGAGATAATAGAAGATTCTGGGCAGTATTGTACCTATACAGCAACAAAGATTAGCATTCCATAGAAGGAAATCACGCATTAGTCAAAATTAATTTAAATTGGAGGCTGAAAGAGGACAGCTGTAGTTAACACTTTTTTATAGTGTTCAATAACCTCCATCAACAGTAGACCACAATTCACCAAACTAAAGCCAGTTTTTAAACTTGCACGACCAAATTGACTTTTAAACGAACCAAAACAGCTTACAAAAATAAGTAAGCATTCGGTCTTAGAAATGGAAATTGAATGCCCCGCTCGGCAGTCCAATGGGTCTCTTAATGGATAAATTAGGGTCACCAACATATCGTCTATATGGGATGGCTTTCGGGCATCCCAAGATTTTAATACTGAGAAAAAAAATTGTAGACACTACAAATTTCCCATGCATTAAGCAGACAAGTGAGCATCAATTGCAGTAAGAGTTTTAGGACAAGTACCTTCACGTTTACACCTCAGTTCTTCAATTTCATTCTTGAAAGCTATTATATTCAAAAGCATAAATCCTTCAATCAAAACCTTGAATAACCTCATGAATCAATTGCTCAAAGGAAACTAAGACGTTCAGCGTCCCGAATTTATTCCTTATCTCGGCACAATCTCCCCAATTTTTCTTAATTAAGGCTTTACTGAACCTTTTAACTACTATCGATATTTAGATACTTTGCAGTAATTAAAATAAAAATAGAAAGAAAATAGGAGCCTACTTTGTGCAAAGAGAAACCAACTGCTTAGCAGAAAAATCCCGCAGGGCCCAGTGGTTATCTGAGAGGGGTTTCGCACAGACTTGTCGACAGAGAACACAGGTGATAATGCAGGGTAGGAGGTCCTGGAGGTAGGGTTTCAGACATACATTGTTGTTATCAATTAAACACTTGGCTAATCGAATCAGGTAGATTAAGATAGCAAGATTGCTATGGACGGAGTTCATTCGCACCTAAAAGATACAAAGATCCAAAATAAGCATTGGGTAGCAAGTTATCAACGAAGCTCGAGTCACTCGTTTACAACATTGAATGGAAGTCTTAGAGAAATGAGGCATTCATTTTAAGCAACGCAAAAGCCCACTGAAAAGATATGTAAGTGGGGGGGG